GTTCTTGTAAAGTCGATTTCATCATCACTATCCATATCTTCATCGTGATGAATATGAGCATAACTTCTGTTTTGTATTCCGTAAATGCGCCATTTTTTTTAATTAGGTAGGCCAATGCATATTGTATTCACACACTTATAAACCAATTTTTAAACATTGTGATGATAAGTTGTACTGTTAGATATCCATTTCAAAATTGGCTGATACAGCCACATACAAGCTGGACTGTCGTCGTCGCGATGGTCCCAAGATCGAACCCGCAGCCATCCCCCGCCATCCTGCGTAAGGCTTGAAGGGGATGTAAAAATTGTGAAGGTACATCCGAAACGTGTAAAACGAAACAAATCATTCGCTTCATTAAATCTAATTTTAGTTGATACGGCTATTTTTAATATTTCAATTTTCTTTATCAATCAAAGATTTTAATTATTATCCTGCAAAGTCTTTTAATGATAATAATGGTCACCTATTGGCTACAGCTGTAAATAAAATTAGTTACAAGTCTGTGTTAGACGTAATGTGTTATTTGCATTGGCCTGCAGGGGCAGCCTACGAGTTTGTGTACCACTTTGTTTTCATTCATTTTTGTTGTGGAAAACTATGTTTCTAATAAAAACAAAAAAAAGATCATTTGTTTCTATGGCCCACGGTTACGAGCAGGGTGTCATATAGTTAGCACATACTTTTCCCAACTAAAGTCAGGTACCCATTAGAGTTGGGTGGACACAGGGGCGCCCTAAAAATCCCGAAATTCAAAATCCCAGTCTTCACTGATATTCAAACCCAAAACCCCAGATTCGGAAGCAAAGCTCTTATCCACTCAACCTCTGCACTCCCAATGTTTCTAAGTTTCTAATAGCATATTAAAATGTATATTCTTTCTTTCACCAGTTACTCAGTAGTCCCTACAGACCAAAAGAGTTGCGCACCATTCACCGCATATTAGAATGTGCCGATGCGTCACTGCGGAGTCACACGGGTCAAACACTGCTGTTCCAGGCCATCTACTCTGAAGAACCAATGAGCACGGTGAAGCTGCTGCTTCGCAAAGGCGTCGACATCGGCGTCCGCGATTACGTGGGAAGAACCGCAAGGGATTTTGCGGAAAAGCTCCAACGAAATAAATACGTTCGAACCCTGGACAATTACGTGCTGCATGCAATCAAAGCCAAAGATTTCCCGAGGGTGGAGCGCCTTCTTCTTGACGGCTATGATCATGTAAGCAATATCACAGACGAGGGAGGTCGTACAGCTGTGGAGATAGCCAACAAACAATCTAGTCCTCAAGTGTCGGAGATAGTCAGACTAGGGGACGAAATCCAAGTGAGTTGTTTTTTTTCTATAATTTGAGACATTTGTACGGTACTGCTCAGTCTTTTCATAGCAAAGCTTATATCAACTCACTCTGTCTGTCTCTATGTTACAAATCGTGTACAACTTATTTCTCCCACTTCACATTCTCGTATGTTGCACACCTATTCGCTGTTCTTAACAAACTAACAGACTCGAAAAAATCAACCAATGGACCTCATTTACCAATCGTAAGCAAACACAATTTTGTCACATGGTTTTCTACATCTTCTATACAAATTACGCAATCCATAAAGGCTGTCACGTGATAGGCAATTTTCATTGTTTTATCAATATTATCAAGTGGCTTAATGTTGTTTGTTTACGATTGGTGAATGAGGTCCATTAGTTAATTAAGTTGTGCTAATATTTTTTTTTATATCGAAAAAAGGAAATATATCTTAAAGCCTTGATAGATATTTGGATGTAGATATGTAGTTCTTCCCCTTAGATACGCCTTGATTTTTTAAAAGTATTTTTTTTCATTCTTCTTCAAAGTTTGGGGGTCCTGGGTTCGAATCTCGGTGAAGACTGGCATTTTAAATTTTTAGGGCGGCACTGGGTCCACCCATCTCTAATGGGTACCTGGCTTAAGTCGCGGAAAGTATAGGCGGTTGGTCATTGTGCTGGCCACTTGACACCCTGCTCTTTAACTGTTTGCCAAGGAAACAGATGACTTTAACATCATCTGCCCCATAGATCTCAAGGTCTAAAAGGGGAAACTTTTTTTGTTAACTTCTTCAAAGTTCATTTTATATATCAGAATTTTATTTTCAATGTCCTCGACCCTCCCTTTCAATGATTTCGGGCACCCTACCACCCTAACGTTAAAGACTCGTACCTAAGAGATATAGGACATACAGCACCACCAAGCGGCAAGTCCATGTTATTGAGCATACGTCAATTGTTATCTACAGCGCCACGTCAAACGTGTATTTCAAGCCATTGACGATGGGAACATCGAGAACGTCCACAAGCTGCTGGCCTGCAAGAAGTACGCTGCCGGACGAGATGACTGTGGGCGTACCCCATTGATAAAAGCTGTCCTCAAGGGGCGTAGAATCATCGCCATCAAGCTTGCCACGGACTGTGGGTTCACTATTAACATGCAAGACTCAGTAAGTAGGCCTATTGTTTTCGTTGTTTGCCTTTAAAAACAGTGAATTTGCTCATGTGCCATCCTTCCAATGTATTATAAAACACTTTTTTTTTTTTGTTTGTTAGTTAGGACGAAGTGTTCTTCACTATGCTTACCTATTTATGGATGACCCGGAAATGATTCAACTGCTGAAAATTTGTGGCGCGAATCCAGATCAAGCTGACGTTGTAAGTTATGTTTCTATACTCTGGGTCGAGAATCATATTTAACATAAAATACATGTTATCGGCAAAATGTGAAATCTGGCATTCTATACAATGTCTTCATTTCCCACTTTGCCGTTAACATATGCAAATTATGCTAGTCGATGATCTAGAGTCTTCGAGACACCATTGTTATGATGAAAGTACATCAATTCCTCTAAATTTGTTTAATATTATGTGTAACATAGTTCTCTGTTGTTCTATCATTATCAGAGAGGTAGACTCCCAAAGGCATACAGTCTGTCAGAGTGCGGATCCATTGAGTTCTTACGTCTGCAGCGCGAAGTTTTGGATGCAGACCTTGACATTTACACATTCAGAACGGACTTTGAGAAATCCTTCCGCTCAGCTTTAAAGGTATTGTGATAATTAAACCAATTGTAGATTTAAATAGGCCAACATCTGAAATCCTTCCGCTCTGCTTTAAAGCTATAGTGATAATTAAACCAATAGTAGATTTAAATAGGCCAACATCTGATATCCTTCCGCTCTAGCATCAACATACTAATAACTGAGCTTCGAAACCTATCTCGCAATCCACAGACAGCTGATTTAAGTAGAGTCCAGTTCTTGGTGGCCGGATTGGCAGAGCACGGGGACGTAAGCAGATACAGCCACTTGTTGTTCGATTGTTTAGATCTATGTAGAGAGGACATCGCAATTTTTCTCCTAAACTCTGGATTCAAACCGGACATTACCCGTCGGGTAGGTACATACTTAGAAATAGTATATAGGTCATCACTTTTTCAGTCAGTGTCATAATATTCCATTTCAGTTCAATTTTATTTTTCTTTTAGACATTGGTATTTAAACTGTCTTAAAACAAAGTTTTCTAAACGTAGTATTCAAATTACCGCCACTATAAGTTTTAAGGAACATAGACCTGTGCACATTATCCTTTTTAGGATCATTGCATTATTGGGCGCAAGTTCCATTCATAATCCAAATACGACATCTTATAGTCATAAAGTTTATACAAAGTGTTCATTTCCTTCAGCATTATTATTATTATTATAGTTATGGCTTTTATATAGCGCTACTTTCATGCTTATAGCATGCTCAGGGCGCTTTTGGTCCAAACTCATTTGTGGACCAGTGGGGGGGGGGGGGGGGGTATCTTGGTTTTCCGTGCTGCCCGAGTCTGGTGTCGAACCTAGAGTCCTCTTCAAGCGCACTTGGTCTCTCGACCACGCTTCCCACGGGGAATGTATTTAAAAATAAAACATGAATTTTTACGCTTACATTTTAATCCACAGGATCCCAAGTGTTGCCCCCAAATGGAGGATGTGTGTTCCAGGTTACAGTGTAGCCACAAAAACATCAGTTTGAGACAGAGGGCGATAGAGAATGACTGCATTAGAGTTCTAAAACTGATCCTCCAGTTGACTAAACAATAAGACTTTGACCATTGTATTGCATCATGTCAAATTTCATTAAAACTTTTTTCAAAGGAGAACATAGTATCTATACAGGTTTTCACTTTGTGTAGAATACCATCAATTACGACTTCGGTAGACACACATCTTACAATGTTCTTCGTAACTTGTAACCATTGATGTAACATCCTTTCAATACTGTGTCATATTATAACCAAAAGCATTTTAATCGACAGAATATAATGGCCTACTCATGCCCCACATCAAGTAGTGCTACTGTTTTTGAACTATAAAAAACAGTATTGCCATTGATTGTAGATTTAAGATTACACTGTGCAAACTAATAAGTTATTACAAAATGTGTTCTATAATTTTAATAATTTAATCACATTCCACTGATGCTACACAACCAGAAAGTACTATATAGGCCTCCTCCAGTCTTAGAAAGACTATGGTTCATCTCGAACACATTTTCAAATGGCTGTGGAGCCCTATTTTGGAGAGACACTCCCGTCCACATATATTTCAGATCAGGGTGGCTTTCGCTTTGGTGGCAGAGGAGCCGGCCATTTTCCGTATGGCAAGCTTTTCTTCAAGAGCTGAGACCCATGTTTTCTCGCTGTCCATAGCAAAAAAGTAATGTCACAGATAAAGTCCCTTTTAAGCACCATAACTTATAACAACGTATTTTTGGTTGCACCAGTGAACCAGGCGTATGTATTTATACATTTGGCCAACATTCCTGTTATCACGTGATTTTCTAACGAATACTTCAAACTAAAATCATTTGGGAGACAATTGTATTGAGTACACCCCTTTTAATAGTATTTTCTTTTGACATTTGATACACACTGCCCAAACTCGTCACATGTGTACATAATTGTATCATATTGCTTGAATGTATATAATCATATCATATCAGTTGAATGTACATAATTGTATCATATTGATTGAATGTGCATAATTGTATCATATTGATTGAATGTGCATAAGTGTATCATATTGATTGAATGTACATAATTGTATCATATCAGTTGAATGTACATAAATAAAAGTACAAAGCCTTTTTTTTATTGAAACTTTAATGTATGTGTTTGTTTAGACATTAAGAATATATATTTAGCTCTGGAGGAGAAAAGTATGTCGTGTATAAAGTTATAAATAGATGCAAGTTGCATACAGCCTTGTTTCGTGCTTTTTACTAAATAATGTAGAGTTTGTATAAAGAGTTTGTAGACAAAAAAATCTTTTTGTGAAAATAAAAACGTAGAAAAAAGGCGTTAGTTTCTTTCTTGAAATGCAAGATGAACTGTTTCGCTAAGGTCTGCACGGGTTGGGGCAGGCAGTTGAAACTTATTATCAGGAACACACAGGAATTTATTATCAGGAACACACAGGAACTTATTATCAGGAACACACAGGAACTTATTATCAGGAACACACAGGAACTTATTTTCACAAGAACTGTTTCGCTTGGTCTGCATGGGTTGAGGCAGGCAGTTGAAACTTATTATCAGGAACTTAGAACTGTTTCGCTTGGTCTGCATGGGTTGAGGCAGGCAGTTGAAAATTATTATCAGAAACACACAGGAACTTATTTCCACAAGAACTGTTTTCTAAACAGCTCTTTTGCGCTATTATCTATTTGTGTAATTAAAACATGGCAAGTTAGAGAGCAAATATCATTGGGGAAAAAATGGATTTGTATTATGAATACGTTTTTTTTTAGTATAGTAGAATTTAAAGTCCCTCATAAAACGTTAAGTAAATAGCTATTTCAGTGTAATTTATGAGCTCCTCGTTCTTGGTCGAAGATGAACTCATATCATTTCTAATTAATCCCAGTAACTCGAAATCTCGAAGATGGCTGTGTATTAAGTGTGTAGCCTGGTCTTCGCGCTAAGTTTGTTTTTTTTTCTAATGGTCTCATTTCTTAGCCTACTCTAAATCACCAACAATCACGGCTCAGTGCCTTGATCAGCTAAGGGCATGTGCGGTAATAACAAATTTCCTTGAGGAGTTAAAACTGAGTTTAACGACATCCCTATTCTTAATGAAGTTGAGACGGCAATATGAAAATTCAGAACCAACGCTACAGTCACTGAAAACCAAATTATAGTGTTCCAACGGTTGAGTATACCAATCTTTATGGTCTACAGGACTAGACCGTCGACAGTTCTTAGAGGCACCTTAGTCTGGTATGTTAGGCTGTACGTAAACTGAAGTGACTCAATGAATGAGCGTGTTTTTTCTTTGGTTTAATAGTACAATACAAAGTATATTCTTTAGAGATGTACGTTACTTAGTTAAAGTGTATTAGAGATTAAATGTCAACAAAAGCAAGGTCTATGGGTGAAGGCAAATTACATTATATAATATAATGAAAGATAGATTTTTAAGATAAATTTTAAAATGTCAAAGACGCTAGAATAAACTTTTTTTTTTTTACCAACAGTTGATTATCGTATCAAATCTCATTTATTACCGTTGATTAATTACTCATTTATTTTAAACTAAGTTTGAAGTCAATGAGTGAAAGTCTTTCTCGATATGGAGATTATTTTGTTCTATAAACGACTAGCACTTGAAATATTTGATTCTGCGGTGCTAAACAAGTGCAAAACATTATCGTATCCCCCTATAATTAGACATAAACGTAGCCCTAGACTATATATATAAATATTTATATGGTCTATGACAGCTTATCGGCACTGTCTTTATTTCAATAATCCATGTTAACCAATGACAACAAAACACGCTTAAAGCAAACTAATTCATATACCTGAGAAAACTGTGATTAGACAAGAAGGGGAAGCTTTGACCTGGTAGGCTACTTTTCCCAGGAGGAACATGCGGCAATGCCGGCCTTAAATATGTGGAGGCCCAAGGCGAAGTGAGTTTGGTGGCCCAGGCCTCCAAAAGAAATATAAAAATAAACAGGATTACAAAGAGAGTTTGTGTTATCAAACAAAACCAGAGGCGGCCCCCGTCGGAGTCGGATCTCCACCTATTCGCAAGGAATATTCAAGATGTGATTTCTGCACTGTGTCATAGAAATTCTTAAATAATTTTTGATCAATCAAAATTTTGATAATGACCGCTAAGCTTAACAAATTGATACAAAGTGACAAATAAGATGCATGCTTGGATATTGTTTAGAAAACATGATGATAAAATGTAGATGCCTATGATAAAAAAAAAACAGCCAAATTCATGTAGCTGTTTTTATTAAAAGAACATAAACAGCAAAACCATGTACACAGACTTGATATGTCGTTAAGAAAGGCTTCTGTAAAGAATAGCATCCCTAATCTATGGCAATATCATCTTGGTCAAATGCGACTAGATGAATGGTGGCATCATGCAACTCTTTGTCGTTTGCACATGAAATGAAACTAGGCAGTAAGGACTCACATATGATGACAATATTTTATGTCCTAGAAATCTGTCAAGTAATTTTGAAACCATGACAAGGCCTGTCTTCGATTCCGAAGACTAATGAGGAATGCAGTATTTCCCGTGGCTACGCAGCCCCAGCAGTGACCTACATATTTTGCCCCAACCAGGGCAAGCATAACCATTGTCCGCTTGTGGTCGATTAAGATTTTCTTTTAGCCGTCTACGTCTGTCCTCGGCAACTGATTTTCTTTTGGTCTCAATTATGGATCCAGCAGCCTTTGTGAGTCACCTCCAGCGGTCTTGTTCTGAAGCGCATGCAACGTGGTGTTCTCTTCTATGTCTAAGCTGATCTTTAAAGCGTTTCCATGGGGCACCCCTGTTACGTCGACCCATGATAGTCCCGTAAAATACCTAGCTATTTACATAAAAAAAAAGAACAACATATGATTGATTATGTGTTTTTGCAACGTTTAAGCACGGAAATTAAATGTAATAAGCTCATAAGTTAGAAAAGCAAACAAACATTTGATGACATTGATTTTTTTTTTTACAAAAACATCCGGAACAATCTATTATAGATAGGCCTATTTAAAACTATTGCAATGTTTCGGAAGGAACAAGAAAGATTAAATCAGATTTTCAATACGATAGCTTTTAGTGTTTTTCTTTATCTAAACGTGACGCACAGGCCGAACAACAGACAAAACTCACAAAAATAATCACTTTTATCCTGACGGGGGCACTAATTTAAAAAATAAATAAAATCTGATTATTTAGAAATTTTGCGAGAATTAGTTTAGTACCATGTAATGCCGCGGCGTTATGCTACTGCACGAAAATTGCAGCATTTTAAGTCGCTTGCATAATTAATTTTAGAAACTAAACGGTTTGCTTTTAGAAAACAAAAAGTAGCCGTTGCACCTTAACTTTGCAAGCCACATCGCATGGTGAAATAATAGTTTTCATTTCTCTTCTACTTTTTTAGATCTGAGTGTGACAGACGGACATTTTACACAAACCTAATAGCGGCTTTTCCCCCTTACGGAGGCCGCTAAAAAATAACATGTAATTTATTTAAAACCTAGGGTACTACAACAATAACATTGTGCGCAAGTTTAGATATTTCTTCTATTAAAAAAAATAATTGTGATAGTGTCTGAGTTCTGTGCGAGGCCACTAGATTCTAATAGAGCATATGGGATTTCCACAGCCAATATTTTAAAATTTTTAATTCTGCTTATAGCTCTTTCTACATGACATCTGTGACAAGAAACCTTCTTGTTTTCTCCTTTTTCTGTAATCTCAAATTGAGATTTATTTTTTAAAAAGTGGGGAGTCAAGAGCGTTATACCTTTAACTTCAAAGTTATCTTTTAAAACAGTGAAGCCTCTGTCTGCCAGGACACAGTCTCCAGGCTCCAACTTCTCTATCAGTCCACTTCTTAAAGTGATTTCTTTGTCTGATATAGAGCCATTATATAGATCAGAGATAAATGAAATCCTCCCACTAGGTGTAATGCCAATTAGTGCCTTCACAGTATTGTGATTTTTATATGTACTAAAGCTGCTTTGCTGTTGCTTGGGATTTTTAGGCTGCTGTATAAGATACTCACAAGTATCTATAATAACACGACATGCTGGGAAATGGTTAACAAAAGTAGAAGGCATGAAAGCCTTAACCTGTTCAGTACTAGGCCATATGTTGACACTTCAACATTTCGCACACAATACCTGAATACATCTAGATCCTAGAAATAGTTGACTCACTTACATTTATTAAATAAGAAAGTACATTGTTCGTCAAGCCATGTCTAAGCTTGATCATTGTGACCAGTAGCTGATTTTGAGAATCTAACAATAATTTGTCTTCTAAACAGCTACTTGAACAAAAAAAGTTAAATATAGTATCAAACTGTATGCATGTGAAGCCAGTGTAACTTAAAGGCTTTATCCCCTTTTAGTTTCAAAGAGTCATAACACAATTTCAACTGAGCAACTTCTTCCAGAAGGCTAGCATTGCCTGGTTCCAAAGTATTTACCCTCTTTAGAAGATCTGTAATAAAGTCTTCATCAGTTTGCACAGTGACATCTCTAGTCTTCTCCTCAATGGTAGTATCCTGGGGTAAAAGAGGTGGTCTAAAAGGAAACAAAATATATTTAAGTGTACAGTCAAACATGATCATCATAAAAATATTTACTATTAAGATAAAAAAATGTAAAACATAATTACTTAGATATTTCAAAACATTTACCTAAATTCATATTTGGTCTTTTTTCGGCTTGGTGTACTTTTGGAAAAAGAAAACTTGGTCGGCACAGCACCAGGCTTTAGAAGTTTGCGATCTAAATGGAATATAATATAATAATATAATGAATATTAGTTTTAAAACAATTTTTTTTCTTCAAAATAATGTACATTAAAATTAGTAGACCTATAGATCTATATACCATCTGAAAATAAGCCATAAAAACCTAATAATTCATATATGAATAGGGAGGCCTACTGATCAAATATTAACATTAGATCCACTATTTTTTTCCTACTTGTAGGAATCTAAGTCGATATTGAATATACTACTTCTAAATTGTAACTAGACCAGAATTTAGCAAATATTAATAGTAATAATAATAGGCTTTTTAGTATTATTTAAAGTCAAATCAACGCTAATAGAATTCTATGTCTATATCTTATTCTACATAGTATCTAGATTGACTAGATCCATTTAGCTACTTGTAGATCTTCTTCTACTAATTTCTAGTCTAGTCACTAACGACACTAGTCTAATCTAGAAATATTCTATCTAGACTAGTTGTTTTATTATTTACATGCGTTTTAAATTTAATTTATAAACATTGACACATAATAATCAGACTTAAAATCTAGATCTAGTTCTGATTGTAAATTTAATAGAATGTATAGGTCTAGATATAGACTCTAGAACCCTAGATAGAATGGCTATAGGTCTACAGATTCAGATTATACAGTAGATCTAGAATAATCTAGATTACTGGATCTAATTAAT